CAAAATCACGCCGGGGGTCTGGTAAGGGGGTAACGGGAGGGGGGGAGGCCTGGACGCCTGAACTATCCGGGATAACTGCGGTTCGGGCTAACTCCAGTTTGGGCCCCCGAGGCGCGAATCTGTAATTACCTATACGACCACTCTTCGGGTGATAAGGAGGTGAGGGGGGAGGAGAAACCCACGTCTCACTCAATCGATCTCACTATCGATCCCACAACCGAATTCACAATCGATCTCATTCGATCTATCTCACTATCGATCTCACTCGATCGATCTCACTATCGATCCCACTATCGATCTCACTCGATCGACCTCACTATCATTCCCACGATCAATCTCACTATCGATCTCACTCGATCGATCTCACTATCAATCTCACAAGCGATTTCACAATCGATCTCACTATCGATGACACTATCGTTCTCACTATCGATCCGACTATCGATCGATCTCACTATCGATACCGCTATCGATCTTACTATCGGTCTTACTATCGATATCATGGTCCATCTCACTATCGATCTCACTATCGATCCCACGATCGATCTCGCTATCGACCGTACTATCGATCTCACTCGATCGATCTTACTATCGATCTCACTAGATCGATTTCACTGTCGATCTCACTATCGATCTCACTATCGATCTCAATATCGAACCCAGTATCGATCGATCTCACTATCGACACCACTATCGATCTCACTATCGATCTCATGGTCCATCTCACTATCGATCCCACTATCGCTCTCACTATCGATCCTACAATCGATCTCACTATCGATGTCACTCGACCGATCTCATTATCGATCTCTCACTATTGATCTCACTATCGATCTCACTATCGATGTCACTATCGATACCAAGATCGATATCTCTATCGATCTCACTGTCGATATCACTATCGATATCTCGATCGTTCTCACTATAGATCTCACCATCGATATCTCACTATAGATCTCACTATCGATCTCACTATCGGTCGCATTATCGATCTCACAATCGATCTGACTATCGATCTAACTTTCGATCTCACCACGGGACACCACGGGACAACGACGGGACACCTGCGGGACAACAGCGGGACACCAGCGGGACACCGGCAGGACACCGCGCGCCACCGGTTGCCGGGCGGAGAACCTTTTGGTCCAGCAGCGGCCCAGCCACAGGAGAATTCCCTCCCCCGCCCACGCAGCTTTGCCTCGCCCGCAGGCACGGCACGCACGAACACGAAACCGAAACCGATTTCCCGGTGGGGGGCTCTCCGTTCCACTTCGATCTCACCCCCTCACCTCCGACCTTCGAATGCTCAGGGTCGGGCGTTGGCAGGACTGGGTTTAGTGGGATCTGGTTCACTGATGTGTACTGGGGGACGCCTCCCCCCACCCCGTTCCACTAGCGGAACTGCAATCACCCGAAAAACACGAGCTACAGCAAACCTGGTTTAGAGATTCCAATCTATATTCTGGACTTCGGGGCCCAATCACTAACCGGCTCCTTTTAACCGGGAACGGTTGGGGGGGGGAACGGTAGGGGGGAGGGACTGGCTGCGGGGGGACAGTGATCTGGAATCGACGAAACATCGCAGATAGATCGGCGACAGGCCCCCGATCAGGTGGGGGGCACCCAGGCCCCGATCGGCGATTAACTGAGCAGTTGGGGTTGGCGTAGCGCACAAGGGAGTAGGCGGGGGGGGAAAGAAAGGCCCGCTTCTGAGAAAGCGACGGCCCCACATCTATCGATAAGGCCCGCGCCTTCTGAGAAGCAGGGGTGCTCCAAAGCAGGCCCTCCCCCCTCCCCCCATACCCATGCGCGCGGCCGACTTCCAGGGCCTGGCTCGGGGTTTGGTACGACGAATTCCCAGGACAGCTGGCGCCTCGAGCAAAGTCGAGACGGCGTTCTTTTGTCGCCGTTTTCGGCCTCTCGGGGCCCTGACAGGGCCTCGGGGCCGTCGAAAAACGACTCGGGATGAAAAACTAGTCCCCCCTGGAGAGTGGTCGAGAGGTCGTGGACCGTGGGCCCGTCTCGAGAAAATCGAGACTCCTGATGTCTGGGGTTTGCGGACGTCGTCGTCGGCTCCTGGCTCGGGGTTTGGCACGACGTATTTGGCGAGGTTGCTTGAGATAGGACTTCCTGCCGAGGGCACATAGTAGCAGCACGATTGTGCTCTTTGCGAAACCTCATAGGCTCAGGCCCCACGCGCTCAGCAAGCGAGGGTAGACATCAGGCTGCGAACCCTGGCAGAGCCTGGAACATTGAGTTCGGTGACATGATCTCGCACATGTCTTTGGTCCTGGTCAGTTTGTTGGGAGGTTGCGGACGTTGTCGTCGGCTCCTGCGGGATGCTCTTCAGCAGCTGCGCCTCGCCGAGAGCGTCTCGGGGGTTCCCGCCGAATCGACCGCGCGGGATGGAGCCCCCAGATGTCCGACGCACCGCTGTTTTGAATATGGGGTACCTGGAACTCCCGACCCTTTCCCCAGGCCGGCTTTCCACCAGGAGCTGATTTTTGACAGCCCCAGTGCCCAGCGATGGCACCCAGGGCCTAAAACGGTAGAACAACTTTTCATTGGCTCTTGCCACAACCGTAGATCGATCGGATCGAATCGGCTCGGACCGACCACCGAACATCCGAAGATGCGACTTGTTCAATCCGCGCCCTCGTAGCTCTGGACCCATTGCGCCCCGCACCCGTTGTTGACGGTCCCAGGGCTCGCACATGCCCCCCCAGAGGCCGAGATGAAGGAAAGACTGGAGGCCGCAAAAATGGGGTCGAAGTAGATGGGGCTGGTAGATCGCGCCGTATCCCCGACGCGTCGCCGATACATCTGCGACGTCGGCGATGCATCGGGGACGTCGGCGATGCGTCGGCGACGTCGGCGCGTTGAGAATTGGACTGCACGTCGAGCCGCATCGCCGACGCATCGCCGATACATTCGCGACGTCGGCGATGCATCGGCGACGTCAACGATACGTCGGCGACGTAGGCGCGCTTGGACTTGGACTGCACGTCGAGCCGCATATCGCCGAGGCATCGACGGTGCGGCGCGATGTTGCGACCCCATCTGCTCGGACCCCGTTCCTGGGGAAACCTGGAAAAACGCCGCAATGGGAACAAAAACCTTGGCTGGAGGTCTGGGCATCATCCCCCTACGGTGAAGGAGGCCTGGAGAAACGCCGCGAGGAGCAACGACCTTGGCTGGAGGTCTGGGAAGCGGCCCCCTGCGGTGAGGGGAAAGGATAAGGGGGACTGGCATTTCGGGGGGGATGGGGGGGGCTGCACCGACATGGGCTCGGCGATACGTCGCTACGATAGATCGGCGATGAGCCCCGGACGAGGAAACCGCACGTTCCTGGGCGGATTGGGGCTATCGGGCCCTCGTCGGCGATCGAGCGAGCGAGCATGCAGCAGTGCAGTCGAGAACACGATAGCAAAGAGCAGCGAGCGGAGACAGCAGAGGGATAGAATGAGAACCCGGCCCCTCCGCCATCGAAAGGCAGAGCCTCGGGGCACTGCACAGGAACAGGACGGCAGACTCGATCAGTCACCGAACCCCTTATGCGCGCTTGGGGATCGATGCATCTGCATCCCCCCCCCCTATGCCCATCCCCCCCTAGCGTTGCCCCCGATGCGGTCCTGCTCCAGGAGCGGCCCCCTCTCCACGGCGGCCTCCGCCATGGCCCCGCGGAGCCGGCTCTGGCTCCCCCTGCAGCTCTCCTCCGAGGCGGAGAGCGGGCGCGCGTGCACCCCTGAGATCTCGGCGCTGCAATTGTTTCATACCAGGCGTCTTCGCCCGGCTTTCGAGTAGGAGATCGACTACAGAACCAGATCGACAAAACGCACGTAGAATGGTCGTAGATCTGCGAATATTCGACGTGCTTCTCGCAGATTCAACGACCAAGCAATGTTGGGGCAATCAGTTCTGTTGCCGATCTCCTACTCGAGGCTTCGGGCCCCGGGAACCTCATAGATCGATCCGGCTCGAAAACTTGCGCAAAGATGGGGTCTGGGGCTCGGGCCGTGACCTGTTTTGCGATGTTTCAACTTTTTCGCGCCGTCGGATCTCGGGGACCGCGGGCTGCCCCCGCCGCGGCTTGCCCGAGAGGGTGGAGCGAAAATCGTCTGAGCCGAAAACGGACCCGAGGGACCGAGTGAGAAAGAGGAGGAGGAGGAGGAGGAGGAGGAGGAGGCCAGGGCCTATCCTGAACTCAGCAGCGGTGTATGCGCCACGCCCTGCTGTCTTGGCCATGGGGGTGTATACACAGCTCGTAGGTGCAGGATGGGCCTGGCCAGGGAGCAGTGGATGTGTATAGATTTCGTTGCCCGATTGAGCACCGCCGATTTTTTCCAGAATGGGCGTCGGCCCAGGGTTCTCTTTTAGTTGGTAAACCAAGGACCGGGTTTTTACTTGCGACGGGCCGGCGAGTTTCTTTGCGATAGATAAACAACAAGGTCGCGCAGGGCTGGCGAGTGAAAAAAATGAGCATGTCCCTACCGAAACGCTGGTTTTTGAAATCCGGTGGGACACATTTGGGTCAGGGGCACGAATCCGAGAGTTCTTACGTGTGTTCCCACAGATTGGCCTTCTCCAGGGGCACGAATCCGTGAGTTCTTACATATGTTCCAACATATTGGTCCTCTCCAAGAGGCCCCACGAGGGCCCAGGTCACCCAGCGGGGTATCTAAGATGGTTGTCCCGAGCTTGAACCATGTGTTTTTACGTGTCCAGACCACCCAGTGGGATATCGAACATCATTGTCCCGAACTAGAACCATGTGTGTTTGCGTGTCCAGGCCACCCAGGGGGGTATCTAACATGATTGTCCCGAGCAAGGAGCATGTGTTTTTACGTGTCCACGCAACCCAGGAGGATATCTAACATGGTTGTCCCGAGCTGGCACCACGTGTTTTTAAGTGTCCAGGGCACCCAGAAGGGCATCTGACATGGCTGTCCCGAGCAAGGGCCACGTGTTTTACATGCCCAGGCCACCCAGGGGTGTATATAACATGGTTGTTCCGAGCTGGCACCACATGTTTTAACGTGTCCAGGCCACCCAGGGATGTATCTGACATGGTTGCCCCGAGCAAGGACCACGTGGTTTTACATGTCCAGGCCGCCCAGGGGGATATGTAACATGGCGGAACCAGGTGCTTCAACGTGTCCAGACCACCCAGGGGTATCTAACATGGGCCTCCTGGGGCCTCCCCGGGGGCCTGGAATGATTGTCCCGAATTGGAACCATGCGGTCTTACGTGTCCAGGCCACCCAGGGGTGTATCTAACATGTTTGTCCCGAGCTGGAAACATGTGTTTTTACGTGTCCAGGCCACCCAATGGGGTATCGAACGTGATTGTCCCGAACTGGAACCACATGTTTTTACATGTCCGGGCCGCCCAGGGGGGTATCTAACATGGCGTCGGGCCCAGCGCCGAATTATCAGGAAACGCACGGGGTGCCGAAAAGCGCTACCCGAAACCATATCCAAATACAGAAAAGTTGTGTTTTCTTGCTCTGGACAAGGGGTGGCGCTTTGGGGGCCTCTCCAGGGAAGACATTGCGAGGATGTCTCGAGCTGCACGCAAGGGGTATCTAACATGGCTGCCCCGAGCAAGGGCCACGTGCTTTTACATGCCCAGGCCACCCAGGGGGGTATCAAACTTGGTTGTCCCGAGCTGGAGCCATATGTTTTTACGTGTCCAGGCCACCCAGGGGGATATTTGACATGGTTGTCCCGAGCTGGCACCACATGTTTTACGTGCCCAGGGCACCCAGAAGGGTATCTGACATGGCTGTCCCGAGCAAGGACCACGTGTTTTAACGTGTCCAGGCCACCCAAGGGGGTATCTAACATGGTTGTCCCGAGCTGGCACCACGTGTTTTACGTGTCCAGGCCACCCAGGGATGTATCTAACAGGGTTGCCCAGAGCTTGATCCACGCGTTTATACGTGTCCAGGCCACCCAGGGGTGTATCTAACATGATAGTCCCGAGCTGGAACCACGGGTTTTTACGTGTCCAGGCCGCCCAGGGGGGTATGTAACATGGCGGAGCCAGGTGCTTTGACGTGTCCAGACCACCTAGGGGGTATCTAACATGGGCCTCCTGGGGCTTTCCTGGGGGTCTGGAAGGGACGTCTAACGTGAAGATGTGTTGAGGATGTCTCGAGCGAGCCACTTGTTTTCACGTGTCCAATCTGCCCAAGCGGATGTCTAGTATGAGGATGCGTTGAGATGTGTTGAGCGAAACGCTTGTTTGCACGTCTTCTGGTCGCCCAGGCGGATGTCTAGCATGAGGATGCGGACAGGATGTCTCGAGCGAAACGCTTGTCCCCAGCACGTTACGTAGCGCGTCCCCTTGGCACGTCCGGCGGTGCGTCCCCCTGGCACGTCCTCTGGTACGTCGCCTGGTGCGTCCCTTGGGACGTTCCGCGGCGCGTCCTCCTGGCATGCTCCCCTGTCAATGAGCTCTGGGGCAGCTACTATGTGCTCAAGCAGCTCGAGCTTAAAGATCCAGATCAGTTCGGTCAGGACTCGGATGCAAAGGAGGACTCGATCTACAACGCTATAGAGTACAATCGCGGCATGGCACATCGCAGTTTAGCACGGCGCAGCACAGCACAGCCCTCGGCACGGTACATCCAGATCGATACACTCAGCATTGCATTTGCCCTTTGCCCAATCAGGTGTCTTTGAAACGTTGCCATGCCTTACATTCATATATTCCTTTCCGGATTCGTGGGTCGATCATGTTTAAACGCTCGCCGAAGCTCCAAGGGGTCCCGACCCGCGCCTACCATTCGAAGAGGCAGACAGATCACGGAGCACGAGCCCGCCTCCCGAGAAGCCTTCCGAGCCTTCTCCGAAGCCACGGACGGCTTCTCAGGTGGCGCGAGGGCCTCTGAGAACCCCCGCCGCCCTGCTCAAATGCCCCGAAGCAGCACTCCTGGGGGCCGCGCTGGCTCGAGAGTCACTCTGGAGGAGGGGCAGGGTCTTCGGCCGTCGGCAGTCGGCCGTCGGTCGTCGTCCGCCGAACGTCGGGTCGTCGGTCGTCGGTCGTTGTTCGTCGATCGCGATCGTTCTCAGAAGGCTGACTCGCCCCCTCTGCCCTCCCCCCCCAGAGGAGGCGCGCCGCCGACCTCTGAACCTGTCACCTTCAGGAGGTGCCCGCAATACAGTCAGACCTAGGCCAAAAGAGCATCCCTCAAGAGCACGAGACCCTCTGTTGGCCAAAACGCACAGAACAGCCAAGAGTACCCTCCCCCAGGATGCACAAAAGAACATCCAACAAGCACGACGAAGACCGGGGCACCCTCCCCGAACCGAGCTCGATCTGCTACCTCGGTCCGACTGTATAGGAAAAACCAACGGCATAAACATAAGCTGTCGGAGATCCGCGCGGATTTCTTGGATCGGCGCTGGACATCCCTCCCTGTCGCGCGAAGCGTACAAGGGGCCAGGGTGCGTGCTGGCACCGATCCAAAAACTCCGTCTGGAGCCCTGGAAGTCCACATTTATTTCGGTTTGTCTTATACTTGTTCTGTTCTTGGACCCGCACACCCGTTGTCGGGAGCGTTCTAGAGGTAGGCGTCCAAGAGGGGGGATCCTAAATCATGGCCCGAGGCATGTGCGCGGACGGGCGGGGGGCCAGAGAGCGCAGTGAAAGAAGAAGAAGAAGAAAATGGAGAAGAAGACGAATAATAAGAATAATAAAGAAGAAGAAGAAGAAGAAGAAGGGGCAATGATGTCTGGGAATCATGGCCATGGCCATGATATCCACCCCTGGTCATCACCCCACCCCTTGGCCGCCAGGACAATCCGCGCTCCGATTGCTCATGTTGATGCCGCCCGCGGCGCGGGGCGCCCTCCATCTCCTCATCCGCCTCGTCCTCGTCCTCGCCCTCGCCCCCCTCCTCCTCCACCTCGTCCTCGCCCTAGTACTGACCCTCGTCGACCTCGCCGACCTCGTGGTCGTCTTCGTCCTCGTCGTCGTTGTCGTCGTCCTCGTCCTCCTTGTCGTCGTCGTCGCCGCCGCCGCCGCCGCCGTCGTCGTCGTCGTCGTCGTCGTCGTCGCCTCTGAGGGCCGCCCGCGGCGCGGGGCGGCGGCGCGGCGAGCTGGGGACCCCCGTCGCCTCGGAGGGGCGCGCCACGCGCGAGGCGCGCGAGGCGCGCGAGGCGCGCGAGGCGCGCGAGGCGCGCGAGGCGCGCGAGCCTGGCGCGCGGCGCCGCGGGCCCCGCTGGGCCAGCATGGCTTCGTCGTGAGGGGCCCCTCGGAGGCGGGCGTTGGCGCAGGCCGCGGAAGCAGCGCCACCCGCGGAGGCGGCGGTAGATGGCAGACGGCAGACGGCGGGCGGCGACAACGACGGCTGCGACGACCTCGACGAAGACGACGACGAAGCCGACGCCGACGCCGACGACACGACGACGACGCCGACGCCGACGCCGACGCCGCCGTCGACGACGACGACGGCTGACGACGGCGACGGCGACGGCGGCGACGACGACGGCGACGACGACAGCGACGACGACGACGACGACGACGACGACGACGTTCGTTCGTGACTCTGCTTGCCCAGAGGCTAGCAGAAATCCGAATGCGGGCAAGGCGTGCTAGCCCGGAACTGAAGTCATAAGTGAAAGTCGCCGATTCAGCCCTAAATTTTCCAGATCAGCCCACCGCCCCTGGTCGATAGTCAAACTTCGCCAATCGACGCCCAAGGCTGCAAAACAAATGTGATCGTATCTTCACATGTGAAAAAGCTTTCCATGACACTGTTGACCATCTGCCTTTTTTCCAGCCGTCGCAAATTCGAAATGCCCCAGAAGCGCATAACCTGCCAGGCCATTACGTCTTGTGCGTATCACCTCAACGCGCCACATGCCCAGCCCAGGCGACAACTCTCACAGATTACATAAAATCTGGTCCTGCGCTCCAAATCGTATTTCGCCCGCAGTACGTTTAGCTTCTCATTGAGTACCTCGCAATGCACCTCGAATGAAATTGCAATCCCAATTTCAATCGAAGTCATGACGCGCCTCCACCGGGGTGTTGAACTTGGTCGCGCTGGAGGTGTCTCTTCGTAGGATGTGAGTCTCCGATGCTGAAGGTGAGAGCTGCTAGATGAAGTACCTCCAGACGCCGCTGGAGAGGGCTGGCTTTGCAGGTCAGAAGCCGGCGGTGTTTACCGAAAGCAGCTCTAGCGCTTGTAATCCTCCTCTCCACCACTGCAGCCGCGTCGTCGCTCATTGCGTGCGTGTGCCCCAAGACTCTGAATCTTCGAGCTCGCGGGGCAATTTGCATAGAAACCTTAAGTTTGGCGGGTGATTTGCTTGATCATTTTTCAAGCGGGGGTCCCGCGCCCGACGGAGCGAGATCAGACCACACATCTTGAATGACCAAAGGGTGCTCGCAATCCTTCGCTGCTGAGCAGGCGCGCGCGGTAAATTCCGCAGTCCACCCGTTCTCTCGCACCCGGGTATGCCAAGCACTATCCATCTTCAGCAGTTGGGCTGCGAGCCGCAGCCCCTGACCCAGACCGGGGGGGGGGGAACGAACCTCTGCCGGCCGTTCCTGGCCGCCTTCGCCCGGCCGCCCTCGCGGGCGGGCGCGCGCAGGGCGGCAGCGCTGCAGCGCAGAGAGGAGACAAGAAGACAGAGGAAGGAGGAAGGAGGAAGGAGGAGGAGGAGGAGGACGGGGACGAATGAGAAAACGACCGCCGGAGGAAGAGGACGAGGATGCAGCTGGGCTTCGAGCTCGCCCATAACCAATGAGTGTCCGCGGCAGCCAGGATAGGCAGACGTTCGGTGACGCGGCCTCCCTCTGGCGCCGGCCTGATCCGCTGCCGCGCCATGAGGTTGTCGCGCTCTGCGGACACGCCCCGACCCTTCTTCGCGCACAGCTTCAACCGGCGGCGAGCGAGGGGGGTAAGTGAGAGGGAGAAGGCCTTCTCTGAAGCTGGCGGAGATTCTCAGAAGCCCTGCGGCCTTCTGAGAAGCCTCGGGGAAGGCTTAGAAAACTTCTGAGAAGGCCAGGGGGCTCCTGAGCCTTCTGAGAAGGCCCGCCCCTTCTCACTCCGACCCCCGGTCTCGCCGCCGATTCAACAAAAGGCGACGACGATGTTGTTGTTGGCGACGACGACGACGATGACGACGACGACGACGGCGGCGGCGACCGCCACCAGGCGGGCGCGGCCGAACACGACGGCGGCGGCGACCAGCACGACGACGATCGACGACGACGATCGACGGCGATGATGATGATCGACGACGATGAGAGGAGGGGCGAAATCTGCATGAATACAAGTTTTCGGAGATCCGCACAGAGTTCGGGGATCTGCGCTGGACCCCCTTCCCTGGCGCGCGGAGCACGCCAGGGGCCGCGCCAGAGGCGCCGCAGGGGCATCGGGCGCCGATCCAAGATATCAGCGCGGAGCTGCGAAAGTTCATGTTTACGCAGTCTTTGTTCTTCGAATGGCGACGTCGACGACGACGACGACGACGACGACGACGACGACGACGACGACGACAACGACGACGACGACGACGACGGCGGCAACGACGACGACGGCGGCGACGGCGGCGACGACGACGACGACGACGATCGGCGACGATCGACGGCGGCGACGGCGGCGGCGACGACGACGACAACGACGACGATCGGCGACGATCGACGGCCGATGGCCAGCGACCTCCACCAGGAGGGCGCGGTCGGGCACTGGCCCCGCGAGGGCGCCCTGGCCTTGCGAAGGCCTCTGCCGCTCCGGAGGGGGAAAAGGTACGCTCGGACCTGTAGGCCGGAAGAGCGCCCTGCACGAACATGAGACCCTCCGCCGGCCAAAACACACACAGAAAAGCCAGAGGTACCCTCCCCAGGATGCACATGAAAATCCAACAAACACAAAGAACACGAAGGAACCCTTCCCGAACCGACCTCGATCTGATACCTCGGTCCGACTGCACGTGCCAACAATGCTACCCTTCCCTCGTGTGCCCCTTTTTGGCCCTCGCCGGAGGCCCTCGCCGCCACCGCTGGACTCGCCTCGAAATTCTGGTCAGAACGCACCCCAGGAGAGGTCCGGGGAGTAGCCCTGGTTCTCCCTGTCGCTGGGCCCATCCACGCCTGGAGGTGCACCCTCCGCAAGGCTCGCGTCGGGCGTGCCAGACGGGACGAGCCAGGAGAGACAGCGAGTCCCCCTCGCGCCGTGCAAAAATCACGACGGCCCGTGTTCTCCTATTCTCGGACTCTGGGGGCCCTCGCAGGGCCCCGGGGCCGTCAAAGAAACGACTCCTGATGAAATGCCCCCAAAAAATTGGCATCGGGGGTCTGGGCACTGCGCCCGGGAATCATATTCAACCGAAAATCTTCGTGTTAACGCCGGAGGGGCGAAGGAGCTCAAGAAACTTGGCCAGCTTCCTGGCAAGGTGGTTAAGGAACGATGGCCCACATTTCGGGGAAGGTTTCTTAATCAGATGCTCGACTGAAAACGTAGGACTGGCGCGATACGCTCGCTAAAACGTGGGCCACGACGTTGACCCAACACGCAAGGTATTGACACGGACGTTTTAAGCACGGCATGTGTGGCGTACCAAGACGGGCGTATCGAAGCAGCTGAGGACATCGGGGGTCTGGGCACTGCACCCGGGAATCATCTACGTAAGAGATCCGCCGACCCTGCAGGCGTGTGTGAGGGAGAGAGCTGGGCCGGTCGTCCCGGGGTGGTCCTGGGAGGCGCTCCCTTTGAGTCGAAGCTGATCCTCCCCTCCCAGCGGCCACCAATGGCTCTCCAACCTCGCCAACCCGAGGTGGATCGAGCCAGGTCGCCATCGAGTCGAGGGGAAGTCCCTTCCTAACAGCCACCGCTGGCTCTTTGGGTCGAAGCTTGCCCTCCCTTCCCAACTGCCACCGTTGGCCCTTCAACACAACTCGAGCTAAACAGTATTTTTCCGTGTTCGTTATTGTTTTCGTTATCCCTCGTTCTGTCTTCGTTCCGCCTTTGCTGCGAAACGAAATCGGGACGAAAACAGCCCACGAAGTGGCCAAAGCGCCGCTCAGCTCGAGCCCTGCTCTCCAACCTCGCCAACCCGAGGTGGATCGAGCCAGGTCGCCATCGAGTCGAGGGGATGCCCCTCCGCTGAAGTCCCCTCCCCGCTGCGGCTTGGGGCCCCCGAGGGAGGCTCTCGATCGAAAAATCGCGCGCTCGCCTCGGCCCCGCGCCTGCTCCCCCAAAACCCTCCACCGGCCGCATGGCTGGCGAGCGGCGTGCGGACTTCAGAGAACACGTGGGCACCTCCCCGCGAGGAAGAGGCAGGAAGGGAGGGAGGAGGGGGCGGATGGGGAGGAGGAGGAGGGGGAGGAGGAGGAGGAGGAGGAAGGGAGGACAGCATGAAAAAGACGGAACTGAGGAGAGGTGGAGATAGAGGAGGAGGAGGAGGAGGAGGAGGAGGAGGAGGAGGAGGAGGAGGAGGAGGAAAATTCGGGAGAATTCGGTGACGGCGATGTCGAGGATCGCGCGACGAGCGAGCGATGGCGCCACTAAGGCCTCGAGACATCCCGCGACCTAGTGTGGCAGAGATCTGCCCTGCTTTCCACGTGAAATAACCCACTTACCTTTTTTGGTTGGGTGTTTACACTCTTCGGAAAGCCAAACTACTGCATCAGGTGGGTGGGATGAGCAGTTCTAGTGCCTGCGCGGGTGCCTGCGCGGGTGGCTTCGCCTCTCGTCTTTCCAGAGAGGCTTCACTACATTGCTCTAGACAGCGATCGACTACAACTACTCCAGCGTGCCTACTCATCTGTTCGTTACATCTGCTACACTGCCATCCTCATCGGGAGCGGGAGAGGAGGTGAGGGCTAGAAGCGAGGGCGGCGCTCAGCTCACTGTTTGCCTGCTTACGCTGCTACTGTGTCTTCTCTTCTTCTGAAACCATGCTCTGGTTGGGAAAAATGAGGAACATGGTGGGAGCACCAGGGAAGACGGCAGGCCTGTTTGAGTATCGCCGTCTGTGAGCTGGTAATCCAAAGAAGTGGATGGGGACGAACCCGAAGAGCACAAGAGCTCCTCATCTCCACTTCCGAACTGAAAAGCATGTGACAGGGGCCTTGTTCATAGCGAGCGCTCTCCTCACCTAACACCTGCGGGCGCGAAAAAAACAAGGGCAACGCTACTGAGAGATCGGATGAAGCAGGCCCTTTTCCAGAAGGAGCTTCACGACCTGCCTCTGTACACAGGCGCACGCCGACACGCCACCGAAAACTGGATGGAGGGCAGGATGACTGGAGTCAGCGCCTGCTGGGAAGGAGGCAGCACGAGTTGGAGAAGCAAGATTGGGCGCAGCAGGATCGCAGCATTATGTTGGCCACGCTATGGAGAGAGAGAGAGAGAGAAAAAAAAAAAAAGAAGCGAGAGATAGAGAGAAAGAAATAGAGAGATAACGAGAGAGAGAGAGAGATGGAGCGAGAGCGAGAGAGGGGGGGGACGAGCCATACAGACACGCCTATAGTGTATATATATACGTATGGATCGGTCCCCTTGGTTAAAGGTAGACGTAACTATATGTGAATGTGTACCTGAACACCTACATACATCCATACATACAAACGCACGTACACGCACACTTACACACATGCATACATGCATACATGCATGCAATACTGGCACATACATGCGTTATGCCGACATATATGTATGGTTGCACGCATGCCTGCATGCACGTATATATGTGTGTATGCATGTGCGTATGCACATGTACATGCGTGCATGTATGTATACAAATATATATGTGTTGGTGTGTGACTGTGTGTATGTAGGTGTGTATGCGTGTATGGATGTGCCTGAATGTACGTATGTATGTGCATGCATGTATGTATACATGAATGTATGTGTGCATGTATGCATGTATGTGTGTATGTGTGTATGTATGTGTGTATGTGTGTATGAATGTATGTATGTGTGTATGTATGTATGTATGTAAATATGTATGTATGTATGTATGTATGTATGTATGTATGTATGCATGTATGTGTGTATGTGTGTATGTATGGATGCATGTATGTATGTATGTATGTATGCATGCATGCAGCCATGCATGTATGCTTGCATGTATATAGTTATGTATGTAGGTCAGGTCTGCCTGCGGGCATGCACGTATGTAATGTGTGTATGTCTGTACGCATGCATGTATGAATACATGTATGTGAATATGTGTGCATAGTACGTATCAGGTGTGTATGTAGATTTGGTAGGCCTGGTTATATGTATAACCATGAACCAACCATACATCGTATATGACACATGCCTGCATGTGTATACATGATGTAGACCTGTATGTAGACATAACTATAGTTAGAACATGTGAGAGAAAAAAGAACCAGAGAGGGATAGGAGAGAGTGCATGGCATGTACATATACATGTTTGTGAGTATGCATATGTATGAATGTATACATGTATATCGATTTGTAGTTATAGGAGCACATAAATGTATACATGTAGGTGCGCGTGTGCATGTATCGATGTGCGCATGTAAACAGTTATCCGATGCGCACTAGAACCATGTGCGCGCTTGGCGCTCGATTTGGCTCTAGTCCGAGTCGCCTCCGCAGTCGCCGTCAGTGAACACTGGATCAATTCCGCGAGATGTGAACTCGAGTTGGTGCCCGCTTGCCCTGACTTGAGCTCAGGGCCGCCACTGCGAGGCCGAAGGATGGGCCCAAGGCCCAGAGAACTCCAGGCGTGGCGACGAGATGCTCCCTGAGGACCCAGAGGTGCAGAGACGCCTGTGCTCAAGGAGCGCCCCGCGCGCCAGGCTTACGATGCCGCGTCTACGCGCTGGTACGAGCCCAGTGCGACGACGGCAGCTGGGGAGCCACTCGGGGCACGGTGAGGCTTTGTCAGGGCAGCGTTGGAGCTTCGTCAGGGGCTGTGCAGACGTCCACCTGGGATGTCATGGTCCCTTTGGGCTACTTGTAGCTTCTTTGGCGGCCGCTCGGAAGCTGCTTGGGGGTCGGTTCGGGTGCCTCATCTTCTCTCCAACCTCCTGCCTTCGTCCTCCGTCCCGTCCTCCACATCACCCATTATCCCATTATCCTTCTCCTCTCCTCGATTCAAGCGGTGTTCCCAAAGAAACGTCTGGGCACGTCGATTCGGATTATCCCCGAGCGGGCTCCAAAAGCTTCGACTCGAAGGTTAGGCACCACCACCGGGGAGCTACGAGTGTCTGCCCTTGCCCTCTAAGTCCTGCCTTCCTTCTCCTTCCCCTCATTCCCGTTGCCTGTTGTCCTCCTCCTGCTCCTCCTCCTCCTCCTCCTCCTCCTCATCTCGATTCGAAGCGGTTGTCGGGGGCGTCTAAGAGGGGGGAGGGGGCGCAAATCATGGCCGACAGCATGTGCGCGGCCAGGCCCAAGAGGGGGGGTGGGCCAGGGACGCATTGAAATAAGAAGAGGCGCCATGAAATCTCGAGAGATATCATAGCCCCCGCCATGATATCCACCCCCCTCTCTGCCGCCCCCGAGGCTGTCCCAGAGAGGCAGAGGCTTCTGGGAACATAGATCCCGAGGGTCCCCGAGGCAGCGCGTCGCTCGGCAAAAGACCACGGATGAGGGCCCAGAGCAAAAGCGTTCACTGGGGAATGTGGGGGGACATGTTTGGGTGATGTTGCGGGCGGGCGGCTTCCCCTCCTCCTACCTTGCACGGTCGCTTTCGCATGTCTTTCCTCCTCCTACCGCCGGTCCATTTGCGCATTCCGCTGCCCGGACCGCCTGAGCGCGCGTGCGGACAGCCTCTGCCACGCTGCGACGAAAAAACGTTGGGCTGGGCTTCCTGAGAGCTTCTGGGGACCTTTACCCTTGTTATCGGAGCCATTTTGGGCTATCGAAGGCCCTGTGGACATCTCTTCTGAGATTGAGAGACTGGGGAGATCTCGAAGTCATTGTGTGCTTTCCCGGAGGCCCTGAACACCAAAAGGGTGATAAGGCCAACAATGAACAACTTGAAATGTGACAATCCTTGGACCTCGAAGAGTTCGGTCATTGGGGAGCAAGCTTGAAGAGTTCCCCTCCCGCATACAGCCATTCCGAGGCCGTCTTGGAGCCTCTCGGACGCACGCATGGGGGGCCTTGTGGAAGGTACTTCGCGCCCCTCTGGGGGGCAATATTGGAAGTATCTCCGGGCCATGTTGGGGCTGTAGTGAGACGTCTCGGGGCATTTTGGGCCAATCTTGGGGCCGTCTTGGGCCATGTGGGTGAAACCGCCACCCTCTTAACAAGCACCTCGACAAGCGAAGCCTTTTTAGCAAACGTAGCTGAGGAAATAATCAAGCAGGGCTGGGATGTTGAGTAAACGTTCGGGCCTGCATTGTAAAAACAAGTCATGGATGGGGGTCGGGGTGTGAACAACGGTGCGGTGATAGACCGTGCGGTGACCTCGAACTCCCTGCAGACCTCATCGTACGGTCCGTCACCGGTTATTGGTACTTGGAGGCCCGAGTCTCCAGAGGCATCCTCGGAGAACGCCCCGAGTCCCAAGACTGCGCGGCCACCTTGAGTCACCACTGACTGACCCGACGATGCCGTCACGGCTCCATCCTGGGACTTCGGACCTCAGCAGGACGACCAGGCATCCGATCGGGGAATCGGATCGGGGTGCGCGTCGGATCGGGCCGCGTCGGCACGGAGCTGGAATCCGATCGGGTGGGCCGCGCCGGGGGGCACAAAGGCGACGTGCAGGCATCGGGGCCGTGTCGGATCGTCGGGACATCGGAATCGAATCGGATGTGGCGGGCCGCAAGCCATCTCGAATCGGATCGATCGGATTGAAATGGACCCTGTCTCAGGCACTGGCGGAGCCGGCGGAAGAGGAGGAGGACGACGACACTGACGAGGAAGTGGAGCGGAAGCCGCAAGAGAGCAGAGGAGGGTGAAGATGAGAGGGCAGGGGGGGTGAGAGAGGGGAGGGAGCTGTGAGCAAGTGGGCGCAGCGAAAACGCATGGCGGGCACGGGCTCACCACGTCGATCGCTTCGACCGGAGAGGTGGCATCCAGTGCTGCGTGCACCTAAGGTTCTAGTAGTGGAAGTATTGCTGTACCATTGTCTGCATCCAGCCTATCACTGCACCCATAAGGGAGCCAGCCAGGGCAGAAGTTCACCCGACTGCAAGCTGATAAAGAGAGGGACCATAGTCGATGCCAGCCGCGATGTTCCACGCACATCAAAAGGCGCCGACACGTGACCGTTAGAAGGCACCTCGTGACACACACACACACACACAACCCTCAGAACAAACATGATTAGCACGAATCGTGAGGATAGGGTCAACGCGATGGAGACGAAGACGAACAAGGCTCGCAGAAATGACCCGCGCTCACTCGAGGAGGAGACACCTTCTCTCAACTGGCTACACACATGGCGGCAATGATCTGGAGAAGTGCGACAGGCCAACAAAGCGCACGGGCGATAAGAGGCCTCAAACACCGGACTCGGCAGCGCCACGGCGCTCACTACATCGTCGCAGCTCCTCCGCACGCCGATCACCGCAGGTCGCACGTGATTTTAATTCGGTCTAGGTGGTCTGTGGGCCATGGAACTGCTGTGCATGTTCATTCCATGCAAGAGTGGCCCTAGGCAAGGTTCACCTTCGGTGAGCGGCTTGGCGATCATTGCGCGCGCTGCGGCAATAGCAGCCTGCGTGCTTACGAGGCTCCGCGAAGGATGCAAGTGGAGGTCTCTGGAAACGCACAAGCATTCGAAGATATCTAAACGCTTCATTCCCCCCCCCCTCGCCCTCCATCGTTCTTTTATGTGCATGCGTATACATGCGCGTGTGCGCGAGTGTGTGTGTGTGTGCGCGCACACATGCGTACTAACATGTGCATACTCACATTTACGCATATGTATACAGCCTCCCTCTCGTTGTTCAAACAGACGTCACAGTAGGGCGGACGGGGCGTTTCACCTGGGTCTTCAACTCATGGCCCTGGAACTTGACATCATCAAGGATGGAAGAGCTCTTTCGACATGTAGCTCTCACCCAGGCGCGACCTAACTGCTTCCAGCAGTTAGGACAATTGAGGTCGGATGGCTTCCAACATGTGTTCAAATCTTCGCCGCGCACATTCCTCTTGAAAGCTTCCAACAACTAGTCGGGTGGAGGTCGAGTTGTTTTCAGCATGCGGATCTCGCCTCAGCGCTGGGCACATTCGTCTCGAAAGCTTACAGAAGCTAGAGCATTGCAAGGCAGGAAACTGTCATAATGTTGCTCGCAACCTAGCGATGCACACAGTCGTTTGAGGACGGGGAGGGGGAGGAGATGGAGCAGGAGGAGGAGGAGCAGGAGTACTTCGGTGGAGAAGGAGGAGGAAGAGATGCAATGAAGGGATATAATCGAGAAGGCGGTGAAAGGAGGAGGGGGAGAAGAAGGTGAATCAATTTTTTTTCATAGAATCACTGGTAGCCTCCCCAGACGCACCGTGCCGGGAGGGGGGGGGAAACAAAAAAAAAACTGAGGTGAGCTGCGAGTTCCCGCGCCCATCCTGCACGTACCAATGGCTCTGGTGCAGCGACAGAAGCACATCGCCACGCGGTGGACAGCAGCAGCAAAAGCAGAAAGAGAAGGGCTGGCAGCAGGGAGGAAGGGAGCAGCAGCAGGGGACGGGAGGCAAAGAACCGCCGGCTAGTGCAGAATGCTAGCGACAAGAACTATAAGGAAGCACGGATCGTCTGCCCCGCAGGAGACCACGGCAGCGCTCCAGGGTGGCAAGGGCCACCAAAGCTTGAAAGGCACGTGCCCATGCGCAGGAGGAGGAGGAGGAGGAGGAAGGGACCAAGGAGACAGTGACGCAGCGCAGAAAGGAAATGCAGGGCGAACATAGAGTATATTCACTAAAGGTCCCCGCGCCCATCGCCGGACCAGACCGCCGAAGAGCAGCGACCGCCAAAGCCAGTGTGCGGCACCCAGCGGGCGCGGCGTACTAGATCGAGCGGACGATTGCGAGCCGGCAGGCCCCCACATGCAAACGGCGCAACAAGCTAATTGACGGAGCACGTGCAAGGAGGAGGAGCGGGGAGGGGGAAGGATTGGGAGAATAGGTTGTAATACAGGCCGACAGCGCTCACTGGTTCACTCCTCCCCGCCAAGCTCCACAACGTCGTACTTCCCTGGCGCCTCGAGTGGAACGAGCCAGACGTTCCTGCATGGCGCCAGAGCCCCCAGCTGGTCGATCCAGGAGTCAGCGAACTGGTTGGCACGGGAGTCGGCGAGCATCTCGGCGCGGGGGTCGACGAGCTGGTCGGATCGTAAGTCGGCGAGCCACTCGGCGCGAGAGTCGGCGAGTTGGTCGGCGAGGGAGTCGGTGAGCTGGTCGGCGCGGGAGTCGACGAGCTGGTCGGCGCTGGAGTCGGTGAGCTGGCCGCACTGGAAGTCAGTGAGCTGGACGGCGCGGGAGTCGGCGAGCTGGTCGGCGCGGGAGTCGGTGAGCTGGTCGATGCGGGAGCCACCAAGCTGGTCGATGCGGGAGTCGGTGAGCTGGTCGGCGCGGGAGTCGGCCAGCCCTTCGGTGCGAGTCGGCGAATTGGTCGGCTCGGGAGCCGGCGAGCTTGTCGATGCCGGAGTCGATGAGCTGGTCGGTGCGGGAGTCGGTGATCTGGTCGGCGCGGGAGTCGGCGAGCTAGTCGGCGCTGGAGTTGGTGAGCTGGTCGGCGCGGGGGCCGCCAAGCTGGTCGGTGTGGGAGTCGGTGAGCGTCGGTGTGGGAGTCGGTGAGCGGCGTGTCGCTAAATCCCTGGCGGCCTCGTTTTTGAGAAACGCCCAGGGTGGCACATTCTGCTGCGCTGGTCGCTACAGGAGTCCTCGACACCGGTTCGGAGATGGTGTGGTGGCCGGCGCGGGGGTCGGTGAGCTGGTCGGTGCAGGAGCCGCCCAGCCGGTCGATGCAGGAGTCAGCGAACTGGTCGACGCGGGAGTCGGCGAGCCACTCGGCGCGAGAGTCGGCGAGCTGGTCGGCTCGTAAGTCGGCGAGCCACTCGGCACGGGAGTTGGCGAACTGGTCGGTGTGGGAGTCGGTGAGCTAGTCGGCGCAGGAGTTGGTGAGTTCCCGAATGGCAGGCGTCAAAGCCGGCGTCGGAGCTGGCGTAGGTGCCCAAGCCGGCGTCGAAGCTGGCGCTGTACCGGCCCATCTACGCTGTTCGGCGTGCCGGCCCATCCGCCATCGCAAGGCGGCGGGGCCCTGGCAGATCCAAAGCACTCTGTAGAAATGGTAAAAACGTCCTGCATTCCAACCTCCTGGTCCAAGCGGCCTGAGACAAACAGCACGTTGTCCACGAAGACGACGGCGAAGATGTGCTGCTGCTGGATGCATTGCTGCTGTTGCGAAGGGTGTTGCTGATTGCGCTGTTGCTGCAAATCCAAGTCGCTGGCCACGGCGCCGTCGCCGGTGTCGGCGTCGGTGCCGACGTCTATGCATGTAGGCGTCGGTGCTGGCGACGGCGCTGGCACATGTGCCGGCGCCGGTGCCGGGGTCGGTGCCGACGTCGGTGCCGGCGTCGGTGCTGGCGATAGCGCTGGCGTATAGGCGCTGGCGTCGGTGCAGGATTTGTGGTGGGGGGCAGGATTTGCCCTCCCCAGTTTCGGCCATACTGTCAGGACAAATATTCTCATAAGCACTGGGCACGACAGGCCTTCTGCCGCAGCGCCACGCGGTGTGGATTGTGCGAAAGGGGCAAGATTTGTCCGTCCCGTCGTGCCCTCTTGCGCAAATTACCTCGCACTCTGGCGTGTCTCGGAATACCCGCGTAGCCTTTGAACAATGCCTTTCAGAATAACGGTCCGGACGCCCAGAGTAACGGTCTGAACAATGCCTTCCAGAGTAACGGGGGCGGAGAAGGTGAAGGAGGAAGGGGAGGGGAAGGATTTCTTCTGCGAGCCAGCGTGCAAGACCCAGGCGCCACAGTCGGCTTAGACGGAAGAGGCACTGCACTGGACAGCTCCCACACCTGGATGCGTGCGAACAAAGCTTGAATGCTAGGCGTCTGGGCCAGGGACTCCAGGCCTGCGGCAGGCCTTGCCATTTAGGGCGGGGGAGGGGCGGCTGCAGCGTAACAAAGGTAAGTAGGGGCCCGCGGCGGGACGACGGAGAAACGCGGGCGTCGTCCACCCCGTAACGTGGGTGCGTGGCTGACATGAGGCGAGGCAACGTGGTCTTAGCTCCTGGCAGCGTCCGACTCTGACACGCTTGCCCAAGGTTGAAACAGCGGCGGGCCGTGCAGGACCCACCAGTCGAGCAGAAACAAATGACCGATTCTGTAGCTCCTCGGGAGACGGTCGCGCTGGCCAACGCATGGCCTTTGGTGAAATCGTATGCACCTTTCCATGTAGTACCGGGGCCTTTGCAACCAACCGCAGGACAGGCTTCTGGGCCGCTCCAAACATGGAAGCACCTCAAGCACCTGGCTCGGTTCTCCGCCAGAAACTCCCAATGGTGCCAGGCCTGAAGAACTTAAACCTAGGCCCCTGGGTACAACTCTCGAAAACACACCAAACATTGGCCGTGACACGGGCTGCAAACGCTAACTTCTCAACATCCGATTTAACAAAGACCACTTCGAATTCGGAAGGTCGAGGGTTGAGGAGCAGGGCTTGCTTAGCTAAGGTGTCGGCTTTGAAGTTGCCCATGCCGGTCCCCCTCTCGGGCCCAGGGAGGCGATCGAAGACCTCGTGAAACGTGTGAGCAGTAGTGTGCTGCACCTGGTTCACATGCTCATGCAGAAGCCCCTGCCAACGCAGCGGCGCTTCTCAAACACTTGATGCTGGGGAAGCGTCTGGCGCAACATCTCGGCTGCCCGACATAAACGGGGAGAACAGCCACCGCCTGATGCTCAGCGGCCAACGGTGTCTGCTGGAGCACGTCCAAGACAACTTCTTTAGCATTGGCAGCAAGTCGCTCGCCTTCGCCTAAGAAGCCCCGGCAGAAGCAGCGCGAGAAAACTCACGCATAGCGTGGCGCACACACACACACACACACGCACACACACCCGCACCCGCACCCGCACACACACACACACACACACACACACACACACACACACACACACACACACACACACACACACACACACACACGCGCGCGCGCACACACACACGTGTCAAGATCGCAACTCCATGGGCGCCCCGCGGGATAGGTTTACCTTGCGAGTCGCACAGGGCTGGGCCGGGGTCGTCGTTGAGGGCAGGGCGCGCGGACTCTGAGCGGTCCCAGTGTAGCTCGCCCCAAAAACAACGGCATTGGCCATTAGCAGCCTCTTCCAGCCACTCTCGGTCGTCGCCAGCGGCATCCTCGCGAGCCTGAACTGCCTCGGGGTGCCCGCAGCGCCGCTCTCGATGCTTGACGCTGTCTGGCTGCCCGCGCAAAAGGCACATGCCGTTGCAATCGCGCCCTGCAGCTCGCGCCCGAACGCGGACCCAAACGCCCCCGCAAAAACGCGCGGCGGCCATGCAAACATCACTCGGGGCAAAGCCTTTTTAG